ACCAGCCTGAGCAAGAGCTAGACCCCGTCTCTACTAAAAATAGAAAGAAATTAGCTGGACAACTAAAAATATATAGAAAAAATTAGCTGGGCATGGTGGTGCATGCCTGTAGTCCCAGCTATTCGGGAGGCTGAGGCAGAAGGATTGCTTGAGTCCAGGAGTTTGAGGTTGCTGTGAGCTAGGCTGACGCCATGGCACTCTACTCAGGGCAGCAGAGTGAGACTCTGTCTCAAAAAAACAAAAAACAAAAAACAAAAAACAATGAATGTGGCCGGGCACGGTGGCTCACACCTGTAATCCTAGCACTCTGGGAGGCTGAGGCAGGAGGATTGTTTGAGCTCAGGAGTTCGAGACCAACCTGAGCAAGAGCAAGACTGCGTCTCTACTAAAAAATAGAAAAAAATTAGCCAAACAACTAAAGAAAGAAAGAAACAATGAATGTACAGAATGGATGTTAATTTGAGATCAATTTTATTATATTAACATAGTGTGATTCTAGGTCCCTAGCTTTTTAAGACTTTAAAAATCAGGAATGGGTATTAAACTATACCTTAGTGACGTTTGATAGGATGAACAGTAACCCACTCAAACTAGTTTAAGAAAGAAATACAGGGGGATCTCACCGATATAAAATAAAAGAAATAAAGTGAAGTTCAGCTGGGCCTCATTGGAAAGATTTCAGACAGCTTCTCTTTCTAAGCAGTATAAATACCATTCTTTACTTCTTGCTGGACAACTTCTTCATTCACTATCGAGATTGGACTTCTCTGCTCATACATGACACTCACAGGCTTATTGAACTCAAAATTCCAGGGCTCATTACTATTGGACTCCAGTCTGCTTAAAGGAAGTACTTAGAGATAAAATCCAAGAGAATCAAGGTTGCAATGTTTCTGCCTGGGAAGGGACCTTCTCTTAAAGAACATACAACCCACCTCAGTAGGTTTTATGATCTGGAATGTTTGGGCAGAGGCTATAAGCCTTCCAGAAGCTATGGAAGGCATACCAAACAGCTGCTATGGATAACTGCTGCCTTTGAAGAAACATTATGGTCAAACAAAGATTTAGTACCACTACACAACTTTCAGAGAGTAATGGGCTTGGATATTAAAGCTTTAGGTTTCAACTGCATCTGAGTTGACTTCTTCAAAGGTGGCATGCTACCCTGCTCTCAAGTAATGAGCAAACTTTTATTAATAACTATTTATAGTCAAGGTCTACTTAGGATCATAGCAAACTCCTCGAGGTTCTCATACCATAACACACGCTTTCTTTAAGGAATGTGAGCGGTCAGACAGCATTCCATGAGGCTACTGTTAGTCCTGAATCCCTATCATTTAAGGCAGTAACAATATATGAATTTAGAAGCTTTGGTATACCTTGAATAAATTAAATGGAAGATATGCAGGTTTTTAACCACTTCTCATTCTCTTGAGTTAAACAAAATACTATGTCAGTAATTAGTTAACACAACAAACAGTAAAAAATTCAAATTCTCAAATGCAATTGTTTATCCAGTAATGTCTCTTAATCTTTGATCTAAACAAGATTCTTATCTATTTAAAACCCTGACCTGATATTCTTTTCTATGTTATATTTCTAAGGTTCATTTTTTTAAGGTGATTAGATGCTTTGATCCACTGAACTAACCAAAGCTAATCTTACATTTTAATCACTAAAAAAAAAAAAAGAACAAGAGCTAGGAGCGGTGGCTCATGCCTATAATCCCAGCACTCTGGAAGGATTGCTTGAGGGCAGGAGTTTAAGACCAGCTCCTGGGCAACATAACAAGACCTTGTCTCTACAAAAAAAAAAAAAAAATTAAAAAGAACAGATTTTGATTCTATCTCTCTATTTTGAAAGCCAGTTTAAACAAAGAAACATAGACAGTTGCAATTTTTATGAGGCACTTATTCTTTATTTTAGCCACTGATAAGGATCTAAAAACCCATTCTATTGCATTTGCATTATTATATGGAATTACTTTGTATTGATGTTACAAAATTTTTTTAAAAGAGAAATTCAGTACTATAATTATGTATCTAACTCCTACCATGTACAATTTGCACTGCCATTTTCAGCTTTGGAGACTAGTGAAACATTCATTTTTAAACGAAAGGACTTAATTGCTTTTAAAATATATGACATTATATAGCTGAAAAGCAAAACAATCTCTACAATACCGAAAAATAAGAGAAAGTATAGTATATCACAGTATATTTGGGTAACTGTGTTTATCTTCATATATTCATTATACCTTCACATACATGTCATTTAAAAAAGACAATTGCTATTAGATAAACATTTATCATTTGAGATTTTTTCATACATATTTTAATATA